CACCAGTGATTCCATTGTATGGCTCAGGTCGAGGACCACCACTGCCCTGGTTAAAGTGCACCTAGAATCAGGTCTGTAAGGTTTGCTGCCCTTCCCCATTTGAACATTTCTTCTAGTGCTAACCGAGTAGGAAGCCCACTTTATTTTGATTAAGGAAAACACAATTTCTTTACATAAGGGTTATCACCTTTCGGTGTCCTGAGATTCCTGTCTGATACATAGCAGGGGCTTGGTGGTCATTTTCCAAAATTAATTCAGTTAAATGAAACAGAGTGAAACGAATCAATCTGTAAGTGAATAAATTCTTCACCAAACTCTAAAAAGTTCACTAGATTCAACAAAACAATATGGTCGTTAGGCACAATGTTAAGCTGTGAGAGATACAGAGATGAACAAAATACAGCCCTTCTCTTTCAGTGTTCCTGGCTGGTAGGGGAGGCAGATAGAGACAAGAGTATCCTCCAGTCAAGCAGACAATGAGAAGTGCACAGAATACGAAAAGGAAATGAGAGAAAAATTAGTCCCTGGTGGCAGGACCCGGAAGGCATTGTTGAAAGCTAGTATCTGAGATTGGCCTTGAAGAGTTGCTGGGATTTAGAGAAACAGGCAGTTGGCTGTAGGTATAGGGCAGTTCTGTATTGTTGCTGCTTAGTCGCTTAGTTGTGTCCAACTCTCTTATAACCCCAGGGACTGTAGCCCACCAGGCTCCTCTGTTTCTGGGATTTCCCAGGCAAGAATACTGGAGTGGGTTGCTGTGTTCTTCTGCAGGGGATCTTCCCGACCCAGGGATCGAACCTGCATTCCTGAATTGAAGGCGGATTCTTTACCACTGAGCCACCTGGGAAGCCCAGGGCAGTTCTGAATAGCATAGCCATGTCAGATGGACCTTCCTGTAACCTTTATGGAAAACTGTAGGGATAGTAAAGACTCCTTTTCTTTCTGATTTCCTTGTTACCCCTCTCATTTTTCAAGTATTATTTTGCTTCTGGTTTATTAATTCTACTTCCTGGTGCCCCAGCTGATTTCTTCCAGGAAAAGTTGCTTATTAACATTTCTATGGGGAGCACCTCCTACTCAATCTGTCACTCTTAACTAATGGCTGGGACAATGGGGTTGGCTGAGAGAGGAATTTTAATCCCCTCCTGTGACTTATCTATTTTCTGATTGAGAAATCTAGGTCTAAAGTCACAGATAGCTGCCCAGTGAAATCATCCTTAACATTAAAATGATAATAAAGACATGTTTCTCAATTTTTATAATATTATTTATGTAATATGAAAGTAGTGAAAATCAATTTCATGATTACAAATAATTCTAAAGATACCTCAGATACCACTTGAATGCAAAAATACCTGGCTAGTCTGGGTAAGCTATGAATTAGAACGGTTGAAGAGGGACACTTTCTCAAAACCATAGCATCAAAGGACATTTGATGTTAACTAAGGCTTCCCTGGTGGCTCAGATGGTAAAGCACCTGCCTACAATGCAGGTAGACCCGGGTTTGATCCCTGGGATCAGAGGAAGATCCTTTGGAGAAGGAAGTGGCAACCCACTCCAGTACTCTTGCCTGGAAAATCCCATGGATGGAGGAGCCTGGTAGGCTACAGTCTATGGGGTCGCTACAGTCTAAAGAGTCGGACGTGACTGAGCTGCTTCACTTTTTTTCTTTCTTTCACTCACTGATTGTATACTGCAGGGGAAAACCAAATAGCACGTGCTGATATATGACTCTGGATGAATATATATTTTATATTACATACCAATATATTAAGCTGATAGATTGCATATCCTTTCTCTAGTTAAGCAAACTACTCACATTGATGTTATATGACTGATGTCATTTGTAAAGTCCTTAAGATGAACCAGTCACCATGGTATAAACTACCATTATTTATGTAGAGTGACAGAAGAAATGGATTTGTCAATCAAATTATTGGTAAAATGGAGCCCAGTTTGGCTTCTAAGGTGATGTAAGACACACAGCATACTTAAATTCAAGAGATACTCAAAATCCTGGCAAGGAAAAGGATGTGAGAGAATAAGGAGGAAAAAAATCAAGTTTACAGATAAACCTATAATTTCCAGGCATTTTTTTCCCTTATTGTATATTTAATTAATTATCTTATTTCTTCATACCTGCTTTTACTCAAAGTGCATTTCCCTATTATTACTTAATTTTTCTTCTGGAACAAAAATAATATTAAATTTCACATCAAATTTGTCATGCACTTAAATTGTCCATTAGAGAAATTGATGTCTCTTAGCAACACTTATTCTCTTAATGCTTCCAAACCCTTCTGATTACACAGCAAAATGGAACTACTGACCCCAAAGTCATATGCATAATTAAATTTTACAGAGGACTCAAATTAGAAAAAAAATTTGAGGTATGCAGAGATTTTTCTGGACAGGTTGATGAAATTTTGATAGCTATGAAAAACCATTCTTAATGGCTGCAAGAGCATAGTTCCCCTATTCAATCCAATCACTTGCAGGATGTGTATAATTCTAACTAGCAGTATGACACGCTTACTGCACAGTCAAGGTATTGTTTAGGAGGAAGTGGCTATACAGAACAAAGGTACATCCCAAAATATTTGGAGTGAATTGTCTGAAGGGTGATTTTTTAAAAATTTTATCTTTAATTGGAGGATAATTGCTTTACAATGTTGATTTGGCTTCTTCTGTATAACAACGTGAATCAGCTATAAGTATACACATATCCCTTTCCTCTTGAGCCTCCCCCCACCACCCTATGAAGGGTGGTTTATACCTTGATTGTCTGGCCAATTGCTGATGGACAAAGCAAGTCCTACCAACCTGGAAACACAAACTGAGTAGGGTCATCAAATGAAATTTGAGAGTCTGGATCTCTCTTGATTGGTATTGACTATACTGAGGTGCTCATGCTCATTGCTCAGTCGTGTCCCACTCTTTGCGATCCCATGGATTGTACCCTGCCAGCCTCCTCTGTCCATGGAACTTTCCAGGCAAGAATACTGGAGTGGGTTTCTGTTTCCTACTCCAGTATTGAGGTGAGGAGAGGTTGATTCTGACTGGTAGGTGATAAGTTTCCACCTGCCTCAGAGTGGTAGTTTGGGAGTAAGATGATTAAGAAGTCAGTCCAGAAAACTGACGTTAGGCCAGCCTTAGGGTTCTTAGGGAACAAAGTAGAGCCTTATAAACAAGAAAGCTGTGGCAAAGTCACAAAACTGTATCTTGACTTTGCTTTTGTATTCCCCTTGCTTATTCATTTCCATTCTTTTCTTTTAGATCCTCCTTGGTAACAGCATAAAGATTTTGTGAACATTCCACTTTCTCATAGCTAGAGCCAAGGGAAAAGATCTGTGTCCTTGCCTGACCCAGAGCTTTAAAAGGAAGCGGTATACTCTTAGGTGACCAGTATGATCATGATACTGGTAAACGAAGAGAGAAATGCCAGGTGAGAGGTAGAATTCAAGAGGAAGGAATAGGGGCCAATTGATAAGCTGCCCCTTTTAACTGTGAAATGCTTTCCAGAGGCAAAACCTGGGAGGGGTCTTAACAAAAGACCTTGTTTATGAATGCTGTTCTTTCCTCAGCATAAGAGGGAGTGTCTGTCATATTTACTAGAGAAGGACATCAGTGTGATGAGGCTACATATAAAGTCTTGGCAAAAGACACTAACTCTGCAGTCCTCCTGTCCACACCCTTCTGCAGGAAGGAGGCTGCTGGCTGTGGCATTCATGAAGGACCCCATAAGTCACATTTGCAAACTTCTAGCTCAATCACTCGTCATGAACATCTACTTCCCTGGTGACCCCAAGCCCAATGCCATGTATTCAAAGTCAACAGTAATCTGTTAGCTAATTGTTTTGGTTTGAAGCATAAGGGCAGGACTGAAAGCTAAGCATTCAGAAATATATGTTAAATGGAGAAAGGGTGAGAAAGCAGACTGGAAGAGCTGAGGCTGCAGCAGAGGGAGAATTCTAGAAAGAAAGAGAGTGAATGAATATGCTCAGGTTTGAAGGCATTCATTTAAAGGGAATTTAAGTATGCCGAAGAGGGGGTTCTTGATGGTAACAGGATGACAACCACATCTGGCGAACAAGAAAGGAATAAGGGAGAAGGCTGGAAATGTCTTGGACATGGAAATCAAAATAATGAGAAGGTCAGAAAGGAACCAAGATGTACTAATTACCTATCATGTGCCAGGCATAATTCTTCTGAATCATCTCATTTAATCTTCAAAATGTCTAGCACAGTGTTCAGCATATAATAGGTGCTCAAAAATAAGTTGAGAATTTAATATTAAATCAGTATATGAGCAGACAATCTAAGAGAAGAATCTGTTATCCATCACATTTTACAGATAAGAACCGGAGGCCAAGAAAGGTTAAGAAACTTGCCCAATGTGACACAAATAGAAGCATAAGCAATCTGCTTTCAAAACCTAGGGGACTGAAGGAGGAGGGTGCTCTGTAAGCGTCTGGCAGGGAATCTTGAAAAGGGTGTGGTGCTTGGGTGTCTGCCAAGGACTGAGATGGAGGAAGGAAGAAGGAAGGGCTGGGTGAACCAGGCTAGGGAGGTGGAGAAGGGGTAGAGATCACTCTGTTTTGGGGGAGGATCTGCCCTGCAGCAAGGCACCAAGACTCTTTGGCGTCAGCTGAGCCGGCAAAGGGCAGCACCCAGGCTAATGAAGCCGGTGGCTTGGGTGGGGCAGAATGGACGCAAAGCCTGTGAAGAGACTGCAACGGTCTCTGTTGGGCAAGCAGGGACTTGGGGTGGGGCGGGGATGGGGAAAAGATGGCTGAAGTGGTTAGTGAAAGACTTGAGCAAGATGGGATGGATAACAGCTTTCACAAAAGAGTCAAAGAGCAGTCGGCCGGGAGTGGGGGGAAGGAGGGGGTGTGTTTTGGAATGGGAGGGGGAGGCTGCCAGGGATGCCTGCGATGCGGAGAATCTATGGGAGAGGGTAAGGATGACCAGCCCCGAGGCCTGAACTGTGGACCGCGTCTCACCTGTAGGAGCTGCTCACTGCACTCGCCACCTCCTCGCGGATTTGCCTGTTGAGCGCGTCGGCCGCCGCACGCCCTCTGCCCGCCTCGGGGCCAGTGGCCTGGACTTGGTCCTGAGCCGCGGGCAGCGGCGTCTGCTCCTGCCCCAGCGCCTCGGCGCGCCGCACCATCCAGGCCGGCCCGGGCTTCTTGCGAGTGTCGCGCTCATCTGCACCGGACGCTTTTCCAGCCGCAAGGACACCTGTTCCACTAGGGGCCGCCTCCTGCTCCGGGGCTTCGGCGGCCTGCCCCAGCCAGTGCTCCTGGCTCTGAGGCACCTCGGCGCGCCGCACCATCCAGGCCGGCCCGGGCTTCTTGCGAGTGTCGCGCTCATCTGCACCGGACGCTTTTCCAGCCGCAAGGACACCTGTTCCACTAGGGGCCGCCTCCTGCTCCGGGGCCTCGGCGGCCTGCACCAGCCAGCGCTCCTGGCTCTGCGACACCTCGGCGCGCCGCACCATCCAGGCGGGCCCGGGTTTCTTGCGAGTGTCGCGCTCATCTGCACCAGATGCTTTTCCAGCCGCAAGGACACCTGTTCCACTAGGGGCCGCCTCCTGCTCCGGGGCTTCAGCGGCCTGCCCCAGCCAGTGCTCCTGGCTCTGAGGCACCTCGGCGCGCCGCACCATCCAGGCGGGCCCGGGTTTCTTGCGAGTGTCGCGCTCATCTGCACCGGACGCTTTTCCAGCCGCAAGGACACCTGCTCCGCCAGGGGCCGCCTCCTGCTCCGGGGCCTCGGCGGTCTGCAACAGCCAGCGCTCCTGGCTCTGCGACACCTCGGCGCGCCGCACCATCCAGGCGGGCCCAGGTTTCTTGCGAGTGTCGCGCTCATCTGCACCGGACGCTTTTCCAGCCGCAAGGACACCTGCTCCGCCAGGGGCCGCCTCCTGCTCCGAGGCCTCGGCGGCCTGCACAGGCCAGCGCTCCTGGCTCTGAGGTCGGCGCTGGGGGGCACGGAGCGCAGGCACTGCCGCCTGGGAAGAAGTGGCGATCTGCACGGGCTTGGGAATCCACGGGTGGTCCCCGCGGCGCGGCAGCGGCCAGGCGCGGAAGTCCTTCTGGTACTGGGTCTCGCGCTCAAAGGGCGCGTCCGAAGGCTGGTATTCGCTCCGCGGCCGGCAGCTCGGCTCAGGCCGCTGCACCTTCCAGGCGCGGTAGTCCTGCCGCATCACCGAGTCCGCGGGACCCGCGCTGGAGGTGGAGCCGGAGCCAGAGGTTGGGCCCGGTCCGCTCCGGCCAGAGGAGGCCCCAGCCTCTCGTTCTCCGCTAGGCCCCGGCGCCAGCCCTGTTGCCCGGGCAACCGCATCCCCGTCGCCCTGGGCCGGCTGTGTTTCTATGGCGACCGTGCGCGCCGAGGGGGGCGCGGGCGCCGGCTGCTGGTGCGACGGCGGGGCACCCGGGTGCTCGGTGGCCTCCGAGTACTTGGTGAAAACCAGCGGCACGGCGATATCCGCCTTGTCCAGCTGGTTCCAGAAGCGGGCGATGCAGCAGGCTCGCGTGATGCACGGCCACGCCATGGTGCTCGCTGCAGAGCTCGCCCTCCTTCTTGCTGGATTCTAAAGCAAGTCCCTAATCTTCCTCAGTCCCCTCGACCGGCCAGTCTGGTTCCCACCTTGTTTTCCTTGGTGGCCTGAGCTACCGCGCCCTCCTGTCTAGAGAGCACCCGGGAAGGTCGGGCTGGCAGAGCTATCACTGAGATAAAAGTCGGTAAAGTCCTTCGATACCTTGCTATAAACGCCTCCTGGAGCCGCAGCACAGGTCTCGGGAGCGCGTTCTGCTGGGATACCGCAGCGGGAGACACAGAGACCCGGGTCGCCGGGCGAGGGCGTCTGGGACGCGCCCCTCCCTGCGGCTGCGGCGGCGCGCAGACCCCGGCCAAGCGAGGCGACGCGAGGCGAGGTAGCTGCAGGCTTAAGCCATGGCGCAGAGGAAGGGAAGGGCAGTGCGGTCGCAGGGTCGCGGACAAAGCTCTCTCTTCTTCTTCCCGCCGGCGTCCAGTCTCAGCTAGCCACCTAGCAAGGCTCGGAGGCAATCACCACTCGAGGAGACCGAGCATTGCTGCCGCCGCCGCCGCTCCCAAGGATGCTGCAGCCGCCGCCGCCGCCGCCGCCGCCGCCGCCGTCTCTGCAGCAGGGAAGCGGCCCCACCCTTTTCTCCGTTCAGCAGAGGGGGGAAAAATCCAGGAAAGATGCTGAGAGAAAGAGCGCTGCGGGGAAAAAAAATCACCTGCTGTCGTCAGCTAGCGCTGCTGGGAGCTCGCCTTCTCTCTTTCCCCTCCCTCTGATCTGGCAGCTCCTCCCTCTTCAGCTCCTAGGCAACCATGGAATCTGGGGCCTAGGTGGGTTCAAGTCTCAGGCTCCTTATGACTTGCAGTCTTTATTCTGGTTGCTTCGGGACTGGGAGCCCCAGGCTCCTCTTTTGTGAAATAAGGGTTAAACATGGGGGAAGGGGGGAGATTCAGTTTAAAAATACGGAGGAAACCCCTAGTGAGATGTCTGTCCCAGAATATATGTTTTTTTTTTTTTTTTAAAGGAGCTCCTGTTATTGGCCAAAATCTATGGCCTGAATTTGAACCCCTTTGGCTGGCTTCTGACCTAAGCACTTGTCAGTCTTATGCACAGGCTTTGCTCATATGTGGAGTCAGAAAACTGCAGGCTGATGGTACCTTAGCTGTTCTCTTTCTGGGGGACCCTTTGCAGAGAGAGATGTCTTAGAATGTCCCAAGAACTACAGAGTCCCTGTTCAGCCCAGGGACCACACCGGAAGAGATGAAGTGAGAAGAAAATTCTCAAAAGGGGCCTAAGTGGGGAGTTTGGGGTGGGTGGGAAACAGCCAGATAGTATCCTGGGAAAGGGTGGGGCCTGACATGCAGTGGCTTTCTGCCATGTTCCTGACCCCTGGTCTTTGCTCTTCTTCTATCTGGGAGGCAGAAAAATTTTGGAGTCAGATGTTCCTGCTTTTGCTCAGACACTTACTACCTGTGTCACTTGGACAAGTTGAGTCATCCCTGGACTGCAGTCTGCTTACCTGGAGGAAATTATAGCTACCTCATAGTGGTTTTGTGAAGATAGTTAAAGACTCAAAGCTTTGAGTCAAATCAGATCCCAGAGGATTCAAATCCTGGCTTTTGCATGCCTTAGCTCATGGCAATGGGCACATTACTGCAAGTTTCATCCATGAATGAGGGTGCCAGTTCTCAACTCATAAGGTTGCTCTGAGAATTAAAATGATCATTACTAAAAACCTTTGCCACAACATCTGGAATATGGCAATGGTTCAATAAATGGTAGCTATTAGTATTCACAGAACCCACCCGGGGAAACCCAGAGGTGGAGCTTCCCAAGCAGGCCAGCCTCTTGGATACATTCTCCAGCAAGACTTCTTGTTCTTCCAAGTGTCTCCTTTGGGTATCTCCTTGCACTATCTTCCACTTCTGACTCCTAGCTACATTCATTGGCCTATAGCTCTGTTTCTTTCCAATACAGCCAGAGTTTTCAGCATCAGTTAAGTCAGGGGGGCATTGATATCTGTGGGGGGGGGGGGAAGTAATTTATGTGTTTAGATTGGGAATTGATGTCAAAATATAGCTCTTTTTAAACCTTAGAATCAAACACAATGAGAAGACAGCTCTGACTAGTCAATTAAATGCTGAACTTCCTCCTGTGTGGGTCTTTGCCTGTTGGTAACTTGATTTGAGTTCCACAAATAAAATGATGCCTGGCACTGTTTTCCATTTATTAGGAGATATATTTCTATAAACAAAATAATCTGGTCTTGCCCTTCCTCTCCCCAGTTCTGGAACTCCCTGGGATTTGGCTTATGTCTTTCCAGTAACAATTTCCAAAGATAAAAAGATGGACTAGCAATTGGAGTTGGAAGTCATTAAGAGTCATGAGATTTTACCCTTCCTTAACTTAGATGCCCACTCTGTGCCTTGGGCCCTATGTAACACAGATGGGTTCTAGCTCGAGGGAAGCCCTCGATTACAGGGGTGTATTATGAAAGGACTGGGAGACTGATACATAAATAATTAGCAAATAGTATGGTCAACACAGAGGTTCATTCACAAGGTGCTGAATGAATGACTAATGATGACTGAACAGGAACTCTCCTAGTCAAGGTGTAAGCATTAATAACAGTGTTCCAGGCAACTTCTTTAAGGGGCTTACCTGGTGACTTAGACAGCAAAGAATCTGCCTGGAATGCAGGAGACCAAGGTTCGATCCCTGGGTTGGGAAGATACCCTGGAGAAGGGAATGGCAATCCACTCCTGTGTTCTTGCCTGGAAAATTCCATGGACAGAGGAGCCTGGTGGGCTACAGTCCATGATGTCGCAAAGAGTCAGACACAACTAAGCGACTTTCACTTCTCACTTCAGGCAACTTCATCATCAGTATCACCTTCCACATACATTCATTTAGATTCTTAAAACACATTCAATTGTATAATCTCCTAGAACCATCTAATGGCCCAATGGGATAATCAAGTCTAATGGTTATCTGTTAAATAGATTGCTTAGCATCAATTCTGATGATAACAATACCTCATTGGTTGACTTTGGATATGCCTCATTTCTAATTTCAGTCCATATGATTTGGGTGGGGTTAACCTTACTTAGTCTACCTTCCAGAGCTGACTCTGTGACCCACACCCATTTACTAGTCCCTGCATCATTCTGGCCAAAGTGACTATAGTGACTGACACATGATCCATATTAGACCAGCTGGAGGAAATCATAGACATTAGCTGAAACCACCCATAAAAAGCCACTCTCTTTTCCACTGAATTGTTACATGGGAGACCACGAGGCTGCTGTTGTTAGTGACCATCTTTGCCATCACTGGGGGAGGCTGCCTGCCTAAGGCTGAAGCAAACAGAGAAAATCAGAAGAGGATGCAGGATTCTGATCATGTCAATGAAAAACTGCAATTTTTCCCCTGCACTCATTCTCTCCTTATATTCCTTCTAGTAGCAGAAACCTCCATGTTTTAGTTGGGCTCTTGTTTACCCAACCAGAGACATTTTCCTATTTACCTACAGCAAAGAGCAATTGTGTGTACTTCCAGGCTACTTCCTTAAGGTAACTGTTTGGGTTCAACTTCATCTTTCTCCTTCCCATAGCATAGAGTGTGGACATGGTAGATGTAAAGTATTACCTGGGCATTAAGGGATAAGAAAGTTCTGGGGCCAGGATTTAGTCCTGGGTCTGGGAGGATAGAGAACAAAATAGAGGAAACTTGTCTTGGGTGATCTCCTAGAACTGAGCTCTCTCAGCAACCTTGGGCCACCTGCCTGCTTCTGCACCATCATGTGAGTAAGAAATGCATTTTCTTTTGTCTGAACCACTGCTCTGGGGTCTCTGTTTAGCTTTTTAGTCATTTGAGCACGTGGATCCGGTCATGCTTGAATTAATATGAGGTACATGAAAACAGTGTGAAACTAAGATACATATAAGATGGGAAAAGGTGATCAGAGTTAAAGTATTCCAAAGTCCTTATTTGTTTGTGAGGAAGAGAGATATCGATTCATTTATTAACCTAAAATATTTATTAACTTAAAAATGCACATGGAAGGAAAGAAAAGAAGATATAGAAAACTTTATTAAGGTCTGCAAAAGGGCAAAACTAAGCAAAGAAAATATCTAGAAAATAGAATATAAGGTGGTGGGAATATTTCCAAGTATATCAGTGACCGAAGTAAATGCACATGATCAAAACTTTCCATAACGACTTCTCTGGCAGTCCACTGGTTAAGAATCGACTTGCTGGGGCTTCCCTTGTGGTCCAGTGGTTAAGACTCTGAGCTCTCAATGCAGGGGGCCTGGGTTTAATCACTGGTCAGGGAACTAGATCTCACACATAGCAACTAAAAATCCCATGTGTTGAAACTAAGACCTGGGGCAGACAAATAAATAAATAAAAATAGGTATTAAAAAAAAAAAAGACTCCACTTGCCAATGCAGAGGACATGGGTTTGATCCCTTGTCCAGGAAGATTCCACATGCCTCAGGGCTGAGTCCACAGTGCCCTAGGGCCCATGCTTTGCAACAAAAGTCACTACTAGAGAGCAGCCCCCACTCACTAGGGCTAGAGAAAGCCTGCACACAGTAACAAAGACCCGCCCAGCCAAAACAAACACAAACACAAATTAAAACAACAAAAAACCAACAAAACTTTCCAGTTAAAAGACTGAGAGTGTCAGGTTGGAGAAAAACACAAAACAAAGCAAAATGCAACTAACACATTGTATGTAGGAAACATATTTGGAACAATGACACAAAAGAAAGTTGATACCATTATATTAACATCAGACAAAATGATCTTAAAACAAAAAGCATTATTGGGGATAAAAATGAGTGGTCATCATATAAAAATAGAAGAAACAATTCATCAGAAATATATGACCTAATTTGTATCTAACAATATACCCTTCAAAATATATACAGCAAAACTTGGTAGAATCTATTATTTATTTATTTAGGCTGTGCTGGGTCTTCATTACTGCACAAGGACTTTCA